GGAAAGAAAAGAGAGGATAAAAGCCTACATCCCTGACATAAAAAGACAGTAAACACTAAACACAAACAGCCATATACTATATTTCCTAAACTGTAGTTGTGTTGTTCAAAGAGAAACCGATTATAATCCGTGTTGAACACGCCAGAATCGAGGTATTCTAGGTTAATAATTCTCAAGGACAGAAGAAAAGAGGTATCACGCCACCTAGTGTAGGTAGACAGATATATATGACATATAAAGTCAATCTGCTCATAATTGGAAACCCACATATAAAGTCAATCTGCTCATAATTGTTATTCTAAAACTTGACTATAATTCTATAAAAATGTCTAACTTTGCGCACGTATACGTATAACAAAATAAAGAATATATATGTTGGTGCAAAGATTTTTTTTAAAAAAAAGTAAACCGTATCTCCAACTTACCATTTTTTAAAAAGTAAACCGTATCTCCAACTTACCAATACTGCGTTTACGAAGTACATATTCTCTGTGGTTCTCAAACTACAGTACTGTATATTTACTGTTGGTGGTATTTTGGCTCCCTCTAGTGGGGCATGGAAAGAGACTTCCTTTTGTTTAATGGATGTAGTGGATGCTGTTAAAACTGATGGTTTACTGCCATTTTTTTATTGAGGTTTATCACGGGAAAATAAGTTTGAGATTTACCATCCGGACTCGTCCTCTAAAATAAATAAAAATGAACGGGAAATGTACACTCAGATCTTTACTCTGAATGTACATCGCTTCTACTTCCGCCTCTCTAGCCGAACGCGGGTCGTCGTTCCCAGACGAACACGCTTCGCCTTGGTCGTAGAACCATAGGAGAGAACAACATGAACTCTATGGAGAAGAAATTAGCCGAGCTGGTCCGAGGTTACCCGAATTTGTACAACAAGACCAACCAGGACTACAAAGACGCTTTAAAGAACCATATATCGTGGAAAGAAATCGCAAGCGTCATGGGGAAGTCGGAAGAAGAGGTCAAAATAAAATGGAAGAACCTCCGCGACAAGTACTGCAAAGCGAAGAAGCGAATGGCAAGGAGAAGAAAAGGACAGCAGACTGACGGAGAAGAGAACCAGGTCGAGCGGCCCGTCCCAGCGTTGTACCAGCAACTCCAGTGGCTCAACAGTTATGTCAAACCCCGAGTGGACAGCAGCGCGAATAAAGACGAGGTGTTTATACTTCACGTAGTTATGTCGTGAAAAGAACACCTTTGGCTAATTTTATCAAAGTAGTTTAGCTCGGTGGGGGTTGAAAGTGGGGGAAGGGTCTAAATGTCCCTGTCATGGTGACTAATGTATTTATGAAATAGTATCTTAACGCTCGTTAAAAAAATTGCAAACAAATCTGTACGCTAACTGTTTGGTTGCTAAACTAAACCTCCTCGCAGCATTTTCAAAATAAGAGCCTGAATGAGTCTGACTTATATACAATAAACATCTCCAAATTAAATATTCTTTCACAAAAAACAACAACACATGTCACATGTACAGCATATGCTGTATTTCACAAATCAAAACACTTAATAATACCTAAACAAATTCTCAGAACTTCTCAAAACTCACGTTAGAACCAGTATCACTGCCAAGATAGTAAGTAAATGCTAAGACACCTCAGGACTCCTGTGTGAACAGGTAGTTTTCATTGATATACATAAAAAAGTATTTAGTTAATGAACTTTGTATCCAGCCATGATAGATTAGATAAGATATGATACCAAAATACCAGAGTATCTTAATATTTGCAATAGGCAATAATAGAGTGATATAAATGTAAAGTTGCTGCAAAGAATATTGTGAGGTAGAAATTATGACACAATTTCCAAATTAATGTGTATTAGTTTTTTTTACTTATGTGACACAGGTTGTTGCAAATCTGGATGACATGGAGACAGAGCAGGACAAAGACAAGAAGGACCAGGACCCCCCCACTCCTGTAGTTAGTACCAGTTTTCCTCTGTTGGAGCTGAGTCCAACCAAACAGCAGGAGACTAGTGTGTCTCTGAAACGTAAAAGACAAGGCGTCTCAGAAACGGAGGTCAGTTCTGTGGACATCCCCGGCACCATCAGAGATGAAGATGAACTGTTTCTGCTCAGCCTCCTGCCTTCAATAAAAAGACTCACCATTAAGAAAAGGATTGAGGTGCGGATGAAGTTCCAACAGGTTCTCTATGCTGCAGAGTTCGAGGACTGAAAAGCTCAGCTTCTTTTTTTTAATTTTTAATAGATTTTTATTGCATTTGTACAGCTCTTATATATATATATATATATGTGTGTGTGTGTGTATATATATATATATATATACACACACATAAATTTCACAATGAATTAGCTTAAGATAAAAACATTAAAATGCTGATTGTTATTAATATTATTATTATTGAAGCAAATACATGGCAAACCGTTAACTACAAACAATATATTTGAGAATTTAACTCAGCTTCATTGGCCATTTACTCTCTGTTCATTCATAATTTCAGATCCTGGTTTGATTCATTCACTTCCACATGTGTGAAAGCCTGGTTTCTGTTGTGTGTGTTTTCATCCCATCTCCCTCTCCCCTGTCTGTTTTTATATCCGTGAAAGCTTCGACCCTCCTCCTCTCTCTTCCTCCTCCTCTCATTGTGCCGTGCTGCTCCCTCTCCCTCCCCATCTCCCCTTCTCTCTCTCCTCCTGCAACTTTTCATTGGATGCTGTGTGGGGTGATGGTTGTGGTCTCTCCTGGAGATGTCTCCACAATGTGTACCGGCATTTTTCAGTTTGAGAACTGCAGGAGTGAAAGTGACTGCATATTATCTTAGATTAGATTAGATTAGATAAAATTAGATAAAATACGATCATAGATAGATAGATAGATAGATAGATAGATAGACAGACAGATTACTCATTGTATTGTTAGAGTGGAAGTCATGGTACCGCGTATCACTTGACATATGGGAGTGTCCAGCTGCTTCTGTCAGTAGTTGTCTGTGGACTGTGGAGTGGCGACGATGATGACCGTCTGCTGACACTTTATTCAGAGGCTCTGCCTTGAAACTGCGTTGGACGACACGTTGCCGACTAGAGAAAACATTGTCGACTCATTTCCTGCCGCTGGTGAGAACAATCATCTGCATGTTGACTCTGTGATGTGGAAGGTGTTGTTTGTGATCTGTTTGTGATTGTGCAGCAGTGGTACATGCTGTCTGAGTGCATGTGCTGAGAGTAATACTCCTTCAAAACTATTTGAATGCAACAGCAAATATGTAAAGTATATTTGCAGAGGGAGCAGCTGCTCTTCACTGCCTTCACTGCTGCAGAGTGAGAGGGTTAGCTACTACAATGAAACAGCATCCTGATTGGTGGATCAGGGTTAGCATGGAGAGTGCTGCTTCATCGATCCAGCTGCCTGTCAGGATTAAGGCGTGGCCCTCGAGCAGGCTGAGATGGTCATATGATGCAAACACACCACACTGGCCTGGAAGTGGAGTTGATGTTTGTCTAGGTGTGGTTCAGAGGAGAAACTGAAGGAGGAAGAGATAAGGGAGACTAGAGAACACACACACACACACATACATATATGTATGTACATATGGACAGTTGTTCAGGAAGCATGAGTCAGTATTTCTACACAAGGTTTCAGATCTTAACTGCGCAAACAACAGTTGTCACCTAGGGACGGCCCTGTGGCCTATGTGAGAATCAGACTTGTACTTAGTACATTTTTTGGTTCAAATCCTTGTCACAATAGAACAACTTGGGTGTGTCACCAGAACTCCTCCTGCTCCCTAGGTTCACAAGTGCAGTGTGTCCATTGTTTCACTGATAAGCTAAAAGCAAAGAGACCTGGGCAAACTAAGGCTCGCGGGCCACATATAGCCCATTGAGCTTTCTAATGCGCAAGGTATGGTAAAGACTGCTGTAATTTCTTCTGTTTCATGGATTACAACTAACCAACTGTAATTTCTGTTTATGGCACCAAATAGCAGCAGATATCAAATGTAGAAAATTATCCCATTTTGGCCCACGAGCCAAAAAGTTTGCCCATGTTGATTTCAAAGCTTGAATGTTGATTAAAATCTTGTTACATTCAATATCTCTGTATTACCCCCTCTTCTGTTCCAGATGCCCCTGTCCAACCTTGCAGATGTCCAGAATATCAAGGAGCCGTGGCTGAATCACATCTCAAAGATCTCAGCTCAAGATAACAACGAGCCCATTAAACCACTTCGCTAGTACCAGACAAAAGAAGGCATCTTCTTGAGCTTGTGACTCGTGCGATATAGTCCCTCCGTCATGTACTCCCCTCAGAGCCTCCACAGGTGGGGTATTACTCACAGTGAGAGCATGGAGCGATTTGCCTACAACCAAGGTAGGTGGAAACAAACTGAAAAGCATTAATGTGTGATAGAGTAGAAAACGCTGAGTTTTAACCTACTAACCTGTTCGTGAAAGTCCAAGTTATATAACATAGAAGAATAACTGGTTAATTTATTTAAATGTAATTTGTTTGTCTTTGTGTACTGCTTTCTTAGCCAGGGCTCACTTGGAAAGAAATTTCTTTTCTCAATTCGATTATTTTCCTCTAGTAAAACATTAATAATCATAATAATTATTATTCATATTGGGGGAAAAAAGATATTTTTCAACGGATTTTGCCGTGTCTTTAAAAAAAAGGCCTTGAGAAGTGTTGTAGTTCTCAGTTTCAGCAGCAGAGGGAAGCATCACCACGTGACGGGTACACTGGCTCAACATTAAAATGATGACGTAGTGCAGCCTTTTGTGTGTCTTGTGAGCTGTAGACACCGCCCCTCCAGAGGAAGCAGCGGGACCGTCGGGGCCAGATAGGCTGTCGTTTAATGGCTGTAAACAAATCTTTGCTACAATGACGCGAAACAACAAACTTCACGAGCGGTGGCTTTCTGCGCTCTCAGCGCCGCTGTTAGCCGTCACTATGTTTGACCAGACACTGCGTTTGTAGTTCGTACAGCGGTGGATTTTTACACCAGTATCCAGACCTGTCATTGCTTTGGCCGGTGATTTCACTGTTGTTTTCTTGCCGCGGTTGTCACAATGATAGCCGAGTGAGTGGAGTCCGCCGACGGTGAGCAAAACCGCTGTGATTTGGCTCGGACCCAGTAAAGGTTGAGAGACCGAAGAGGTCCGTGAACATGGCATCGGCCGCTGAGCACGACCTGACTCTGTCTGAGGCGGACGGCAACAGGGAGAAAGCTCAGGTGTTTGGCATTCTGAGGCTGCAGGAGGAGAAATGTGGTGACAAAGCTCACAGTAGAGGGGGAGCAGGTGGTGGTGGTGGTGGGGGAGGAGGAGGAGGTGATGGCCGATGGCAGGCTCCTATCTTTGCTTTAGCCAGGAAAGCATCAGAGACCATTTCAGGGAGCATTCATGTCCTTCCCAAAGTGTCGGAGCACAGGACATCACTGCCAGGAGAGTGGACCGTTCAAGGTAATGTATGGACATCCATCTGCCTGGGCCGCAATCACGATTTTAGACCTTATTAAAGATTATAACAGCCCCCCCCTCCCCCCCTCCCTTTTACCTCCCCTATATATCCAGACATGGTATACAGGAGTAAGGGAGGCTGTGGGTCTGTGGTGGAAAAGTTGTTTATATGCAGATGATACCTGTTAGTTTTATCATTATCATTTGTGTTTTCCGTGTGTACCACCAACTGCCAACATCTATTATGTTCTAAATGTCTACAAATCTGGTATCGTATGGTCAGAAAAATGCTTGCTGACCGTCCTAACGCATTTACACTTAAACACTGGTTCACCATATCTACTGTACGTTGAGGTCCATCAACGTTCAGGGCCAGACTGATGTAGACCGACTTCAGTGAGAATGCTCAGGACACTGAAGCACTCAGTAACTCTTCACAGACAGGAAATGCATTTTAGGAACAGTCAGTAAGTCGGTTGGTAAGTGGAGCACAGTTACAGGAAAAGTGGAGGTTACGGAGGCTCTCCATCCCCTCTGGATGTCTGACATTACCTCATCATTGTCAGTGCGAGGCCAATTGATCTTTTTTTCATGGAGCAGCTCTGCTGACATGATGGGATGGTTCATTTGCAGCTGCTGCCGCAGGCGTCACATGTTGAACTGCTGCAGAAATGCTTCTTGTTCCATAGGGTTTGACACATGTCTGTGACTCTACGCTAGAAGCTATAACGTGTCTGTGCCTTTGAAGGGTTTTCATAGTTCTACAGCCGTAAAGAGTCTGAGGAACTCATCAGCTGACACTTAAACTGTATTAGTTTGAATATGTACATCACATGAAAATCACAGACCTCCATCCCCTGAAACAGTACTGACACGCTATTTAGTGTTGAGCTAAATGTAAATAAATGAGTTTGATTCTAAAGATCCGCTGCTCCATGATGTTGAAAGCATCATGGAGATTTGATTAAAATGAATTACGTTATGGATTTAACTGACTTGAAATGACCAGACAAGAATCATATTGAAACTTGCAACACAATAGTATTTGTAATTTGTGGAAAACCTGAAAAATTGTTGGTTATTTTTTCAGTCGTGTAATATATATGTATACATATATTTATATATTAGAAAATTAGACAAAAAAATAGCTTTTCTGTTTGTAGTCAACACAGGGATCCGGAAAATTAGACTGTTTCTGTTTGTAGTCAACACAGGGATCCATGTGACACCACCGATTCATCCACCGTTTAAATTTGAAAGTTGTCTCTTCAGTTTCCTTTTTTTGCTTGATGTAGCAATTTCTCAGACCCAGTGCATTATCTGTGTAGGATGTGATTTTATTTTTAGGTTTTTCTAATGGAAAATTCCTTCAAGTAAAGTGTGGGAAACCTGAATATTTTATCCTCTAGCTTGAAAGTTCACTGGTTGTTAAAAGTACCATCTGCATAACAAACGTTGCTGTAGAACTTGGCACTGACACGTCAATGGTTTGTCACAACCTTGTGTTCAGTTAAACATTAATCCAAAGCTCCACTTGAGGAACATTTCCAAGACTGATCTCCCTTCAGGGAGAATAACTCTAAACTGGGTCAAGTTGCTGGAGTTTGTTGTTTGTTTGGGAGTTTTCTCTTAATTATTGCAGCAGTGTTTTCAGTACATTTCTACAACACTATTAATCAGTCAGTCAGTGTAGCCATGTGTAGTGAGGCTGGTCTGACCCATCTGACTGGATGTTCGTTGAAAATCAGTTAAATAATAATAAATAGTAAATAATAACGTGTATCGACTTTGTGTTAGAGTAGCTGTAGTTTAATAGTGCCAAATAGATGAATCTTCACAAACTTAATGTGATTAACATGTTAATTTTTAGACTGTATATATCATTCATTCCTGTGTGTATTCTGTGTCATTTTCCACCTGTAGCCCTGCGTGACCCCATGTCCATGGAGCGGGCCAACCTTCTCAACATGGCCAAGCTGAGCATCAAAGGTCTGATCGAGTCGGCTCTGAGCTTCGGACGCACCCTGGACTCGGACTACCCACCTCTACAGCAGTTTTTCGTTGTCATGGAGCACTGTCTCAAACATGGTCTAAGAGGTAGGGAGGATGGTCGTAACCAGAGACGATGTTCAAGAGGTTCAGATCTGTATGAAAAACCACTGGAGTATGCATTTGGTTATTATGGCATATTATATATATATATATAGACTGTATATATATATTTGTATATAAGCTGCCATCTGCTGGAGAGAAGGGAACCCAGCAACATATATATGTTATGTTTTGTTTTTAAATCAACAGGACTTTAGCAGCAGAACTGTGTGAACATGTGACTTCTTCAGGTGTGTATGTCAGACTGTTTTGTTTTTTTTACTCCCTCCAGTGAAGAAATCCTTCCTGGGCTTTAACAAGTCTCTGTGGGGTCCTCTGGAATTGGTGGAGAAACTCTGTCCTGAAGCAGCAGAGATCTCAGCATCCGTGCGCGACCTGCCAGGGCTGAAGTAAGAGACCGTGTCTATACACACCTGTTCCCACACACACAACATCCTGGTTGGAAAAACCAAATGAGCCTAAAACCTCAGCCCTGATCACATGTGTAAAACAGCTTGACATGTTTTGAATGTCACCTTTGGTTATTTCCCACAACACCTCACTTCCCTTTTCTCTGTTTTAATAAGAACTCTTTTTTTAGAACTCTGTGGTAATGCTATGGCAGCATTGAAACAGTTTTTAATAATACTGAAGGTACTGTTATGAGAGAGAGGAATTTTAAAATCATTATTAGTAACTGCACACCTGCACATTTTACTGTCTGGTCATACAGTCAAATTTACTGTATTTTCCGCACTATATGTCACTTCAAAACATAAGTCGCTCCAGCCAAAAAAAAAAAAATAATGAAGAAGAAAAAACCATCTATAAGTCGCTCCGGAATATAAGTCACACCAGTGACTTATATTCTATTATATAGTATATAATATAATATATATAATATATATATATATATATATATAATATAGTATTATATTGACTTATATTCACACAGCCACCCTCCAGTGGCTGTGTGAAAATATCAAACTAAAATAAAACAACCGTGTAATTTTTTATTATATAAGTCGCTCCTGAGTATAAGTCGCAAACCCGGCCAAAGGATGAAAACAAAGTGCAACTTATAGTCTGGAAAATACGGTATTCAGTTAATGAACATTGGTTTCTAAAAAGCAAATACATACAGCAGAGTTGGGTCTAAAGGTGGATGATGACCAGTTGAACAGTTAATGATTAAAACGGACCCACAGGAGTGGGCTGTGGTCACCAGACAACTCTCTTTGTCTTCTTGTAATAAAAACTTCTAGACAGAGTATCATGTGAGTAACGTTCAATTTTTTTTTTCAATTGTACCAAAATGAGGAAGAGTTGTCTTGCTGGAGAGAGCAGCCGAAGTCTGTTTCCTTTTGGTGCTGCTGAGTCAGAGCAGTGTATGTGCAGCAGAGCAGTGTTTCTGCAGCAGCATGGACAGAACGTTAATTTAATTAATATATTAATTATATTTATATAGATATTATATTATTCATACATTTAATGAATGCACTGCTGTCATGATTTGAAATGTGTTTGTGCTCTTAGATTTTATTTGGTGCTAAAATGATAAAAATGGCTCTTTGAGTGTTTAATCTTGCACAGCCCTGTTCTAGAACTATGACCTGACGATTGGTCGCTCCATGTGTGGGTCTGTGTGTTTTCCAGGACCCCTCTAGGAAGAGCCAGAGCGTGGCTGCGTCTTGCTCTGATGCAGAAACGACTGGCTGACTATCTGCGACTTCTTATCACAAGAAAAGACCTGCTCAGGTAAACACGTGCAATTCAGCTGTACGGGAAAAGGTCAATAGGTCACATTAAAGTAATGTACTTTATGTGACAACCAAACCAAAACAATCTAAAACAATGGTGTTTTTTCACAGTGATTTCTATGAGAATTCCGCACTGATGTTGGAGGAAGAGGGTGCGGTGATCGTGGGCCTGCTGGTGGGACTGAATGTAATTGACGCTAACCTCTGTGTGAAAGGAGAGGACCTGGACACTCAGGTAAGTTCACTGCACAACCTTATTGTTAATTTGCAAGAACCAGTTTGATCTAAGTTACAGAACAAAGTGTATTTCCTGAAATTGTTTCTGTGCTCTCACAATGTTTTATTTGGACTTCTCTGTATCTGTATGTGACTAAATGTGGGTTTAATGCAGACATAATGTCACTGTCAAGCGTTTTACACTGTTTCCATGTTCTTCCTGGAGGTGGGGGTGATTGATTTCTCCATGTACTTGAAAAACGACATCGACGACTACAGGAGTGAAGAGAGGTACCAGCCCCACTTTCATGTTCCCGACAGCTTCCGCTTTATGCACTGTACTGTATTTGAGGCAGAATTCTTTCTTTTTTGCTTGTTTCCATGGCAACAGGAACAGCCAAATAGCATCCATTTTGGACCAGAAGAACTACGTAGAGGAGCTGAATCGACAGTTGAAGTAAGATTTTTTTTTTCTTTCACAGGGTTTCATACAGAATCCTCTGGTAACAATGTTTTTTTAAATACCCTGAAACATTTATTAAATAATTTTTAATGTTGATTTTACAAAAATGTACCAATAATATTGTTTGGTCTTAATATTATCTTAATCTTTGTGTATTTTCTTCATGCAGCTCCACAGTCCATGGTCTCCAGGGCCGAGTCGACTCTTTGGAAAAATCCAACTCAAAACTCATAGAAGAGGTGAGAGTCAGAGACGGTGTCAAAGAAAATTCTGCTGTACTTGAAAGTACTTGAGTCTCAGTTTAGGGTTTGATTGGATAAATTCAGAGCCTCTCCTATAGGTGATGCTATAAACATTATCTACAATCCTGTAATTTATTAAAAACTAATCTACCTTTAGCTTCTGAACCAGTGGTAAATTATTGCAGGACAGTAGGCAGTGTGCCTCTGCTAATCTTTTGAGGTTTAAATCTATAAAAAAGAAATCAGTCACACTTAGTTCTGATACACACCAACACAATCTTGTAACCTTCACCATCATACTTTCAACCAAATGGTTTTTATTTTGTCAGTGACAAAGCCTTTAGTCAGCACCTGCTACAGTTAGCCTCTTCTGCAGCTAACTATTAGGTTTTATTCCTAATTTATAAACCATGTAGAAATATCCTTACAATGTGCATATGAAAGAGAAAAATAGAAAATACAAGCAGGGAGACTTTAAAAAAATTCCTTTTGGCTAATTCATTATCATTATTTTTCCCCCTTTTACTTATCTTGTCTGTGTGCACAGTTAGCCATAGCCAAGAACAACATCATTAAACTGCAGGAGGAGAACCAGCAGCTGAGGAGTGAAAACAGCCTCATTCTGCTTAAAGCACAGCAACATTTGGAGGTAGGCGCCCACTCGGACTTACTGTGAAACTGGGTGAAACTCTAACACTGTAACTGTGACAGGGTTGTCGTTTACCTCAGGTTGCCCAAGGTGATGTGTCGGTGGAGAGAGACACGTACAAACAGTCACGCCAGGGTCTGGATGAGATGTACAACGAGGCTCGGCGGCAGCTGAAGGAGGAGTGTCAGCTCCGACAGGTCAGAATGCAGCTGAATGCAAATGTGCTCGTGTGAAACACACTGATGACTAAAGGACGCAGCGTTGTCTGTGTGCGCTACATTTTTAGGACGTGGAGAACGAGTTGGTCGTACAGGTGTCGATGAAACAGGAAATGGAGCTGGCCATGAAACTCTTGGAAAAAGATATTCACGAAAAACAGGTTAAAACTTGTTTCCCCTTTTTTTCCGACTTCCCTTTGTTTGTTCTCTTTGACAGTATCACAGTATTTTTTTTCTTAGCCCTCACCACAAGTAAGACGCTTGTGAATATTGAGCCTCAGTTTACAATATAACAAAGACACATCTACAAGGAAAACTTAAAGCAGTTGTTGTCACACTCCTTCTGTAATGTCCTGCTTTTGTAGATAGGAATGTCGTCGAGCCACTTCCTCCACACATTCTCAAAGCTTCAAAATTAAACGGAGGAAATAAAAAATACAAAATACAAGTGCATTTTCCCCACCAAAAATAATTGACCTTTAAATGAATCTGCCTTTCTGCAGCCCCCCCCCCACTCCCTTAAAACATGATAATGTATTTCCCAGCATTCTCATGTGTGTTTACATATATTGTAAGTTTAAACTGATAATAACTGGGTTTTTATTTGCCATTTGTGCAAAGGCCAACAGTTCAGGCACATTGGAATTCTTGTGCAGTGCTCTCAGAGACAACAATTTAAGAAATAACATGCAACAAAGAAAATAGAAAAATAGAAATTTGAGGACACTATGGAAAAAAAAAGATGGAATATGACGATAACAAATCTGTAGTATCAGTATGAAAATAACACTGCTGTCTGGTCTACGGTTGTACTACGCCACATATTGCAAATGTCCAGTGGGGTGAGGTAGTAGAGTAATATAGATATATAGTGATGCTTTGAGCACTAAAGATACATTATACATTTGTAAGTAAAATGTATAATATAATCATTATCATATAAATACTATATGCAGGTATAATATAAATAGAGGAAATATAACAAAACAACAGACCCTGCGGGGGAGGAGTCCATAAATATCACACTTGCCTGTTCTGGCTCACATGGAGCAGTAATAATTTAGAATCCCTTGCGCTTGTTTCATTGGCAGCGCTGCTTGTGTCAGGCCTCTCAGCACCGTCCTTAGAACTCAGCAGCAAAAAAAAACACCACCAGCTGAGATTTTCCGTGGAGCCATGACATTGCAGTGACACCTCCAGTGCCTGATTCAATTCTCCTGAAGCTGCTCAGACCTTTAATACAATAATAACTGATGCATCATAAAAACATACACAGAAGAAAGAAACAAAAAAAATAATATAATCAGCTTCAATATAGCTCTCTAGCCAAATGGATATATAATTTTTTTTAAAGTTATCAAATATAAAAAAAATGTCAAAAAGTATTAAAGTTATTTCCCACACTAAATTATGATGTGAAATGAGTTAGATTAGCTTCATGCCAAAAACAAGTCCGTAAACACACTGAGTAACGTCTTTGTTTTGACTGAACAGGACACTCTGATTGGCCTGAGACAACAGCTGGATGACGTCAAAGCCATCAACGTGGAAATGTACCAGAAGATGCAGGTACGCTCACCAAAACACATTCGTCTCCACATTCCCTCTATTTTGGATACGGGCTAACGGCCAACATGTCTTTGATCCCACAGTCGTCTGATGACGAGATGAAAAAGAAGAACGATGTTATCACTCGCCTGGAGGAGAAGACCAATCAGATCACTGCCACCATGAAGCAGCTGGAGCAAAGGTTAGACACACTGGCTATCAAGACAAAATGTACAGCAATTCACTCTGTGTCCTGTAGGAGATGTTTAAGAAAAATGCTAAAGTTTAGAAATGAGTGAATGTATATGAACAGCACTCCAGAGAGAACAAAAATATCTTGACTAAAATGATTAGCACAATAAAAGCTCAGTTAGCCAAAAATAACTTTTACCCTAAAGCTTTTATCCACCAAGATGAATGACAGTCAGCACAAAAATAAATGAAACTTTTCTAATGTTGTGCAAAATAAGCTAAATTTAACTGTTTGGGATTTTTTTTTTTTATTTTTTTTTTATTTTTTTTTTTGGTAAGTGACAACAAATAGCGAAAATGCTTCAAGATTAGTCACAAGGACAGAAGGGCCAGAAGAGTAGGGGACTCTTATCTAAACACATTTGCTTATTGTATAATTCAGAAAGATTTTCCTGGCATTTTAAGCTTCCATGTACCAGGAAACAGAAATCAGGGGAAGAAGCAGTAGCTTCAGTTTCTCTGAGTGTTTGATAAGATGTCTTTCAGATGCATGCGTTAGTGAATTTCTGTTGCGTGTGTGTAAATGGTCCATATCTGCATCAATCATCAGAGCTGCTGGTTGTGATCCGTCCTCCCTTCACTGTCCATCCTGTCCTCCTCTTCTCCTCCCATTAGTTTAAATCTGTTCTCTCCTGTTGATGATTTTCTTCCTGAATGTCCTTTCTGAAATTTGACGTATGTTGGACGTCCATCGACACATTCCCTGCACTTATGTTATTTTTAATGTTTCCCATCATCCTAAGAGTCAAGTCGTTGACATAGAACGCCCCCCTCCTACTCACTAAGAGACCAAACTATTGTCAACTCCTCTATGCTGATGATGTTACTCTACACGTTTGAGCAGTAGTTTCAGTCTGTGTACAGTAGTCGTTCCCACAGTTGTTGCGACCACTTCAGCCTATCCTCCCCCTCTACTGTCATCACATTCACTTCAGAGCAACAGAAAAAACCTGGCAGCGCTTAAATCAGATGTTGGTGTTTTGATGCATTTCATTTACACGTCCTGCTGTTCCGTACAGTGTTAAGTGGAGCCTTATCTGGGGCCAGTACTGATCTATTGACATCCTTTCTTCCTTCTTTTCCTCCTCCTCCTCCTTCTCTTTGCCTTCCTCCTGTTTACCTCTTTTGATTCATCCATCCATTATCCATCCATCTATTTTGCTCCTTTAAAACCTTTTTTTTATCTCCTTCGTTTTTTGGTTTCCCCCCTTTTGTCTGTGCAGTGATAAGGACCTGCTAAGTCAGACCAGAACTCTTGCTTTGTCATTTGTTAAGTGTGCCAGCACAGACACAGAGCACCAGTACAAACTAGTGAAGGACATCTCCTTCTGAGGAATCACACACGTGAACATTTATGGTTGGACTAAACCCAAAGGAACTCCTGCTCCTGTTTCTGTGTGATGTTGAGATGGTTTTTGGCGTTAATGGAGCCACAGATGTAAATGTAACTGGAAGGTTTGGTTTTGTCCTTTATTTACTAATGATTATGTTTATCAGCAGTGTGCCGAGACCGCAATGTGATGGGCGATCTGCATTTTAGCACCATGTGAACAATTGGACAAAGTGTATGTTTTTTGTGATTGAATAGCTTCAGTAGACGGGGTTGATGGGCCAATGTGAGAGTTCCATACTAATGTGTCCTGATCGTGGGGTAGTCTCACCTCCATAACTTCTCCCATAATATGAATATTAATCACACCCGTCTACTTCAAACAAATGTTGCATTTTAGGCTAGACTGTTGTAAATCCACTGGGATCCTGCATCCTGTATGTCCACTCTATTTCCTTAATCCATTTTTTTTCCTCAAAGCAAAAAAAAAAAATATTGACATTAATTGCATTGTTATGTTGAAAAAACTATTTTAAGCAATCCAGTCGACACTTTTTAAATTATTAGGACATTGGAGTAGGCTGAACTATTTCTCGTCGAGGTTCCGAGGTTGCACTTTTACGACCTGACGACCATTAACAGATAAGGTCCTTTATCCACTATAAGCAGGGTATTCAAATTGTTTTTTGTGTTTTGAACTCAAATGATTTTGTTGCTTTGCTGTTTGACTTCAGAAGTCAGGTTGCCTTGCATGCTAACAGCAAAATAACCAAATTTAGTTAGTGATTGGTTTTTGTTTGTGTGTTTGGTGACTGCAGGCTTTGTGGCTGTGAAACAGTAGGTACTGCAGTGGGTGGAGGGTTGCAGGTTTGTTTCCCGATGTGCTGCCCAAGATGTTGTGAAGGTTAATTGGATTTTTTTTTTAAAACAAAGAAAACTAATTTAATCAACAGATGGAAATGCAGAGCCAATGAAATGGTGGCTGGTTGGGCTTGTTACTTCCATCACTGGTATTTAAAGTCATTTGTTTCCTTTAAGATAAAAGTAAGGGCAACAGGAAGTAAATGGAAATAACTTAGTAACTTTAGTTCCTTTATACTTGATGTTCCTTGCTCATTCTGGAGATTTCAGATAAAAGCAGGACAAGCAGCATTCCTAAACTTAATATATCTATAGTGTGAATGTAATCTTAAGGACACATGGGCATTTAAATCAGAGCTGGCGATTCATAATTAAAATTTTTTGTTGGTTGAATTCTGATTCAAAACTGATCACGACACAGATATCTCCATATCTGCAGAGAGATACTTATGTTTACTCATATACAACTTTATCTGCTTCGTCATTATTTGTTTTCCTCTAAACGGGATCACTATTTATGAAAGGTGATGTTTCACCAGACAGAATATGAAACTGGTGACGGAGACAAAGAATACATTTAAGAACAATATAAATGGAGTGAGCTACACTTCACCTTCTCCTGTGCTCTGGAGTTTTTTGACGTTTAAATCTGTTTCTTGTGTAAGCGTAAGTCGAAATGTTCTAAGACAGAGTGTAAACACAAATATTTATGGAACAAACAAATCTGGTGGATCTTCTCCATTTAAGAACAAATGCTTCTGAAAGCCGCGTTTCCATCTGAAAAATATCTTATTTGTAGATTTCTCTGGGAAGTCTTTGACACCAGGTCACAGCCTGTTTCTTTAACTGGTAAGGAACTTTTTTAAATGTTCTTCCATTTGAACAGATTTCACAATTATTCTAATTGGGGCAAAGGATTGAAACCTGATCAAATAAAGCATAAAAAATTTAATTTGTAAAAGGTGTTGGTGACACTTGAAGTCCTACTCCCACCTTGGAACTTTTTGACTTAGCCTTGTATGGTTAAACTACTTCAGGAATTTGGGCACATTACCGTTCTGCCCGTTGTTGTTCTTTCTCCTATCTATTATTAAATATCTAGCGAGTGTATAGGCCATAGGTGACCTCACTAGTCTGAAAATGTAAATGGAACAGTCGAGGGTAAATGTACAGTACTGTACCTTTGATGATGTCGTAAATTCCAGACACAGTTTTTCTTTCTCGCGCTGCTAAAGACTAAACAGAGTTTTTATGGTCGCCTCACCATCGATGAACCTCGTTGTTGAACCAGCAGTTGTTCTTGTTCTTCCTCTCAGAAGAACGGTGAAACATGCCGGTCAGACGTCACTGAGTGTTTCTGTGACTTATCTCTAAATATTTATTTACTCTTTGTGATAGGAAGTGATCGATCTAACAACTCATGTTCACAGTACTGCAACTACTACTCTCAGTTTGTAGAAGAATCAAAAACAAAAAATAAAACCCTCACATCTTCTGTCTTTTACCAACATGACAATAAAGCTGACTGTTTTCAAATTAGTCTTGTTACAGTTTTTGGCTGTGTTTAGAGTTGGTTTTTATTTCTCCTTTATATGACTGAGCGATGTGAATAATAGTAAAGGAGTCAAACAGCCACTAGGTGGCGTTTAGACCACTCAGGCAATGGAATACACGATTGAAGTGGTTCCCAAAGTGGGGGGCGGGGGCCTCCAAATGGGGCACAGCGCTATGACCTGTGTGTGTTTAAAAATCTCTAACATGAATCTGAATGTGAAATCTGAAAGTTGAAGTCTCCACAAACGCTGGACGTTGATGGTTTATTCAGCTCAAGACTTTCCTGCAGTTTTTGCAACAACAACATCATGTATATTAACTTTATGTTACAGCAACAGTAATTTGATGGTATATACATATATATGTATTTAAATATATATATTTTAATTTCTTATCCACGTGTTTTTTTTTTGGTTAATATTCATTTATTTTTTAGTTTTTTATCTTTTGTGTTTATTTTTCACTCATCATTCCTTCATAATTTTTATTTAAGAGTTTTGTTTGAGGCCCTCGTACTTCATCTTCATCCCCGCCATGTCAGGCTGTTCGACGCTGCTTTCAGCCCCCCCCCCCCCCCCCCCC